CAGATCTCATTACAGATGGCTATGAGCCACCATGTGGTTGCTGGGAATTGAACTCAGGACCTCTAGAAGAGCAGTCTCTGAGTCATCTCTCCAGACCTATTCTTTAATTTTGAGGGTTATGCTTAGTCCTAATATTGGTATCATACCACGCATATTCTTAGGCAATCTGATTTTTAAAACCTGCCAACATATTCTTGAACCATATTAAGCGTGTTTCAGTGGTGGTGATTCTAGTTTGTGTGTGTGTGCTTAACTTATGGGCATGAGTAATTTTAATGTCCATCAGTGTGACGCATGTAGTACCGGTATCAGCCAGAAGAGGGAGCCAAATGCAATGCACTGGCATTACAGCCTCCGGGAGCTGGGAACTGAACCTGGTGTCCCTAGAGAGCAAATGCTCTTTAACACTGAGCCCTCTCTGGTTAGAGTTTCTCTAGGTTAAAGAATTAGAAATTGGAACAACAGCTATCCTTTTGGCATAGTAAATGAGGGATCATGAGAAAGGCTTCTAGAAGTTTCAACTTCTTGATCTGAAGGAGGTGAAGTAATGTTTACTTTTACAGGAATCGTAAAATTGTAAAATTGGTTTGTGTACTTTTCTTTGAATGCATTTTATTTTTCATCTCTTTTTCTTCATTTTTTTAAAACATGTAGTTCAGGGTGGCCTCGAACTCGTGATCCTCCTGCATGAGCCACCACAGGTGGTCAAACATTTCTTTTTTTCTTTTAATTTTTTTATTTATTTATGTATTATTTTTAATGTATGAATGCTTTGTCTGTCTGTATACCTGCAGGCCAGAAGAGGGCATCAGATTTCATTATAGATGGTTATGAGTCACCATGTGGGTGCTGGGAATTGAACCCAGGTCATCTGGAAGAGCAGTTAGTGCTCCTAACCCCTGAGCCGTCTCTCCAGCCCCCATCTCCCCGCTTTGATATTTTGATGGGCACCTCAATTAGCCATTTGTTCCAGATTTGAGACCTAAGACCTATTATATAGCCAAGACTAGTTTAGAACTTGAGATCTTCCTTCCTAAGCTTCTGAGTACTGGGATTAAAAATTGTGTGGACACCAGGCCTTGGTGGTTTTTACCTTTAATCCCAGTATTTCGGAGGTAAAGACAGGTGGATCTTGAGTTCAAGGACAGCCTGATCTACAAAGTAAGTTCTAGGACAGGATAACCAGGGCTACACAGAAAAACCCTGTCTTGAAAAAACAAAGAAAAAACAAACAAACAAAAAAGTGTGGAACCACACCAAGCAAAAATGTTTTGAAAATAAGTTTGCTAAACAGTAAGAATGTTTAGCAAACATTCTAAAGGGAGGATGGGGGGGGCAGGCTCATTTCCTTCTTCCACCTTTGCTCCTCACCAGCCTCCCTCCCCCACTCCCGGTCTTACATTTCAGGAAGAGTGATCTCTCTGGAGAAGGGCTGATTTTCAACAGGGTGCCTGGCTTGGTGCCGGAGGATCCCAAGAGTTGGCAGTTCATGTCTGTAAGGGATCGCAGGTGTGAGATGTGAACATCTGGAGCTCATGCGGGCAGCACAGACAAACACAAGTCTCCCAAGAATCATGTGCAAACTTAGAAAAAAGATACAAACTTTGGATGGGTGAGGGCCCCCAACATGGCAACCACTCATTGGCTGCAGCAGGGGCTAGCCTCAGCTCTCAGCACTAGAGAACTGGAGGTAGCTTTTCCCCAAAGCAGGGCGGAGTTTGGAGGAAGGTAAGCAGCAGGAAGCCTAAAGTGTGTGTGTATATGTGTGTGTGTGTGTGCCCACCCGCGTGCATGAGTACATGCTTGTGTGTGTTGGGGGTACACAGCTGTGGATCAGCTCTTAAAAGTGCTTCCCAGCATCCATACTGGGTGGCTCACAACCACCTGTAACTCCAGTTCCAGGAGACCACACTCCCACCTCCCCTTGTGTGCATCACCTCCCCTGTGTGCACCACCTCCCCTGTGTGCACCACCTCCCCCTGTGTGCACCACCTCCCCCTGTGTGCACCACCTCCCCTGTGTGCACCACCTCCCCTGTGTGCACCACCTTCCCCTGTGTGCACCACCTCCTCTGTGTGCACCACCTCCTCTTATGTGCACTATACTCATGTGCACATAACCTCACACGGACGGGCAGATGCATGCACAATTTTTAAAAGAGAAAGGAAGCCTGACCGACCTGATATCTCAATAGTGCTGGAATTACCTGCCATGGAGCGGGGGTTCGTATGTCCCTTCCTCCCAAGGATCTATGACTGATTAATGGTTGTTGGGGACAGAGACATTTTCTTCAGTGGCACAGCCTCTGGCAAATGCTTATACTCTGGTAAATAACTTCTCACCCATGCTCCTGTAAGTAGTTCTACAACTAAACTCATTGGTACACATGTACACACACACGTGTGCACACGCCGGCACACACACACACATGCATGTGTCACACACTGGCACACACACACACACACACACACATGAAAGCAGAAGGGGGAACTAGTTAGGCAGAGGAAGAGAATCATTAGGAATGGGAGGGGGACAAGAGAGGGTAATGGGGGACTCCTGAGATGGCTCAGCCACTGAGAGCCCTGGCTGTGGACCCGTGTTCGATTCCCAGCACCCACAGGTTGGCTCACAACAGTCTGTTCCAGAGGATCTTATGCCCTCTTTTGACCTCCTCAGTCACTGTGTGTATGTGGTACATGGTCATGCGTTCAGGCAAAGCACCCATACACCTAAAACAAAAAATAAATCTTAAAAAGAGAGAGAGGGTGATGGAGAGAATATGGGCAATATATGTTATGTGCTTTGCGAAAATGTCATCATGAAAGCTATTTTTATGTATGTTTCATACATGCTAATAAAGTATTTAAAAGGGTAAAATTTATCACACACACAGAAAGCCCAGCTAAGTCTACAGAGAGGTACAGTTCTCCGAAAGAGCAAAGGGTAGGAGGTTGTTCCAGCAAGAGGACTCCCGAGGAAACACCTCCTTAGGGACCCTTGCCTGCCTGTCCGTGGATCTTGCCCAGAAGGCTTCCTTCATCACCATGGCCTGTGAGTGGCGATGGGGACCTTGGCAAAGGCCTCACCGTCTCCGAATGCTGGAGCCAGACTTGCTACCCATGTGAGCTCCGCACCAGAGAGCTCAGACTTCTCACAGGGCTCCTCCCCACTTCCTCCTTGCTCATTGCCCAAGGCCTGCGCCTTCTCATCCTGGTTATTTTTTGTCATATTGACTTACGATAAAGTTATCTGGGAAGAAGGCTCTTAGCTGAGAAAATGCCGCCATCAGATTGGCCCATAGAGCAGTTTGTGGGACTTTTTTTGTGTGTCTTTTTTTCCATCTTTTCTTTCTTTTTTCTTTTCTTTCCTTTTCTTTTCTTTTTGGTTTGTTTTGAGACAGGGTTTTTCTGCATATCCCTGGCTGTCCTAGTTCTTGCTAGGTAGAGCAGGATGGCCTCGAACTCAGAGAGATCTGTCTGCCTCTGCCCCTCACACACACCCCGATTGAAGGTATGTGCCACCATGCCTGGCACTGGAGGACAGTTTTCTTGATTAATGATTAATGCAGAATCACCCAGTTCACTGTGGGTGATGCCACTCCTGGGCAGGCAGACCTGGGTGGCATAAGAAAGTAGTCTGAGCAAGAAATGGGGAGCCAGGCAGTAAGCAGTGTTCCTCCATGGTCTCTGCATCAGTTCCTGCCCTGGTTTCCCTCAGTGATGGCCTATTCACTGTAACATGAAATAAACCCTTCCCTCCCCAAGTTGCTTCTGGTCTAGTGTTTATCACAGCAGTGGAAACCAAAGGAAGACACGCCTGGTTCTCCCCACCCCAGCTCTCTCCTTACCCCACCCCTATGCTATGCCCATTCCTGTGAGCTAAGACTTTTACCATCCTGCAGGGTGACCAGCTTGCTCTCACTTCACCGTAGGCCTTGGTGTTTGTTTTTCCTTCTCCTTAGAGCACATTTCCCCAGGAACAGGGGCAACAGTGAGAACAGAGAACACAGGAGGAGCGGATTGTATCCGACCCTAGACGGCAGCCTCCCAAGCAGGAGCTCCATCATACAGATGTGCGAACAAGAAAACCTCTGGACAAGGTGGCAGAACGACTTCAGAGCTGTGTGGCAGCCCTGTGCTCCTATCCTTAGAACTTCAGGGCCTACAGAATGCCGCTCCAGGTTGCCTCAGGACCTTCTTAAGAGAGGCCTCCTCAGAGCCCGCTATGAAAGGTTCCTCATCTCTGTCTCCTCTGACTTTATTTTGCCTCACAACAGTTCCTGTGGCCCCAAACACATGCTGTCTGTTTTCCCCTCAGAGGACTGTGGGAGCCATGGCAACGGCAACACACGACAGGCACACAGCCAATGTGGAGAGCGAATGGCCACCACAGCCGAGAGGATCAGTGCCTGGGACTTCCGAGTTCTCCACAGGCTTTGTGGGCACTTCAGGGCTGGACCCCAGATGGGCACTGTGGTTGAGGAGGGGCTCCTGCAGCTGTCTCATGAGGCCCAGGCACGTGATGGGGCAGGTCCTAGAAGGAGTGGGGCAGAGGTGGGGTGACAGGGAGGGGAGTGAGCTGGAGTCGGTAGAAAGGCCTCTGGGTGTGTCCAGCTGTGTTAGCCACCTGCAGGGGTGGTGACTGGCCCTGGGCAGAAGAGGAGGGGTGAGAGCTAACAAGGTATTGGCGTGAGCAGACCCCGGAAGAGGTGGCTGGAGAATGGCAAGCAGGACACCAGCCCAGGACAGACCGAGGTGGTATCAGTTGTTAAGGAAGGGTTGGAATGGGGGCATGGTGGCACACACCTATAATCTACTTGGGAGACTGAGTCAGGAGGATTGAAAGGCCAAGGCCAGCCTGAGCAACTTAGGAGGACTCTCTCAACATAAAGAGAGCTGAGGACATGCCTCAGTGGCAGAGTGCTTGCTTAGCTTAGCATGCTCCAGGCCCTAGGTTCCATTCCAAGTAGTGAGGGTGGGGGTGGGGTGGGCACTAAGCCAGGACCTCCTAACTGCCCAGCTAGGGCATCATGTGGGAAAGGCATGACTTAAGTTGTCAGCTACCTCTGATTGTCACGTTGTTAGGACGGAAGCCATCATGAAACAAGTCTCTGGGGGAGATCTTCGGGAGAGTCTCTAGATGCGGGGAGACCCATTCTAACTGTTGGAAATACTGCTCCATTGGCTGGGGTCCCAGACTGGACAGAAAGGTGACAGTGACCCAAGCCCCAGCACCCGGCTGCAAATGCAGCGTGACCCGCTGCCTCCAGCTCCTGCCACCCCGAGTCCCTCACCAGGGCAGGCCGCAGGTGCGAGCCAAATCAACCCTTCCTTCCAGAAGCGAGTGTATCGGGTCTGTGTCGCTCGACCCAACAGGGAGTAAGGGCTCCAAGTCTGTCATTAGGCAACTCACTTTCCTTCAGGCGAGTGTCCACTGGTGTCTGTAAAGTGTCCCGAATGGCTTCCATAAACTCCTTAAAGAAGTTCTTGACGGGCTCGAAGGACAGGGGCACAGGGTGGCTCAGCTCCGAGGGGCTCATCTGCTGTCCCATCTCTGACTTAGTGGCTACATATGCCTGTGTAGAGGGGCATAGGATCAAGATGGCTCCCTGCAATCTGAATCTAGCCTCTGCTGTATACCCGGGAAGAAACCCAGCCAGCCAGGTCCCACTGTGCCTGGCCACCGTGGTCAGGTCGAGCTGTAGCACAAAGCAGTGGCCTGGGGAGGCCGCTCAGCCACCTGAGATCTAAGGCACATAGAGTTGTTGGTTGGTTCCCCTTCACCCTTCTTCCCTTCTCCTCCCCTTTCCCTTCCCTTCCCACAGGGTCCCCAGGAGGGCCTGAGCAAGGAGGAATGACCAGGACATTGCCCTAGAGTCCAGGTTACTGTGAGGGTCTGCCTCAGGGCTGACCTGGGTTCCATTCTGTTTTATCTTGTTTTCCTGGGACAGGGTTTTATGGAGCCTAGGCTGACCTTGAACTCCTGATCCTCCTACCTCTACCTCCAAGATGCTGGGATTACAGGCACGCTTCACCATTCCTGGTCAGGTCCAGGTTCTGATTCTACCAGAGTGTGAGCCCTGCTGAGTCCTGCGACCCTCAGCCCCACATCTCACCTACCAGAAGCCTTTCTGCAGAGCTCTATCAAGTATCGTGTGTTGGGTTGAATAAGAATGGCCCCCATAGGCTCACATATTTGAGTATTTAGTCATCAAGGAGTGGCACTGCTTGAGAGGGATTTGGAGGTGTGGCCTTGTTGGAGTAGGTGTGGCCTTGTTGGAGGAACTATGTCACTGGGGTTGAGCTTTGAGGTTTCAGATGCTCAAGCCAGGCCCAGTGTGTCTTCTAGTGTCTTCCTGCTGCCTTCGGGTATCTCTAGCACCACATCTGCCTGCATGCTGCCATGCTCCCTGCCATGATGCTAATGGACTAAACCTCTGAAATGGTAAGCCAGCCCCAATTAAATGCTTTCTTTTTTAAGAGTCGCCAGGGTCAGCCAGGCAGTGGTGGCACACACCTTTAATCCCAGCACTCGGGGGTCAGAGGCAGGCAGATCTCAGTGAGTTGGAGGCCAGTGACTATGGTCATAGTGTCTCTTCACAGCAATAACACATTGATGAAGACAGTTCACAAAGCGCTTGCAGCCTGGGGGCCTGGGAAACGGTACTGTTAAGATTATTTATAGTTCAAGATAGATATTAATTATTGTAACAGTGTTCCTGACCACCTGTGTGCTGGCAACGAAGTCTACATGCTAGCCAGGGAAATCTCTGTGCACTTCCCCAGTCTGTAAAGATCATGCTCGTTGCCACAGTGACCCAGGTGCGTGTGGGGAGCCCGTGGCAGCTGTAAGATCAGGAAGTCCAGCTTTACCTGCAGCAGCTGAACGGGGTTGGGCTCCAGGCTCATGACCCACACCCTGGTGTAGAAATCATCCATGACCTCAATTTGCTTCCTGCAAGACTCGGCTTGCTCGCTGTACACCTGGAGGGTGAGCTCTGTGTTCTTATCGATGAATTGTTTGGCAAGTATTTCCTCTTCATCAAGGAGTAATCTGAGTTCGGTAAATTTCTGTGTCAGCCAGGCTTTACTTGAGTCTGCATAAACCTTAAAGAAAAAAAAAAGAGTTGACTGTAGACAATACACTTGCCAACCAGGAAGTCTGGAACAGAAAACACCTACAGAGTGAGTCCAGCAAGGGGACGGTTTGTGTGTATGCCTGCAGGCCAGAAGAGGGCGCCAGATCTCATTACAGATGGTTGTGAGCCACCAGGTGGTTGCTGGGAATTGAACTCAGATCCTCTGAAAGAGCAGCCAATGCTCTTAACCACTGAGCCATCTCTCCTGCCCCTGGCAAGTAGTTTCAAGACAGGATTTCTCTGAGTAGCCCTGGCTGTCCTGGAACTCGTTCTGTTGACCAGGCTGGTCTCAAACTCATAAAGATCCACCTGCCCCTGTCTCCCAGGTGCTGGAATTAAAGGTGTATGCCACCATGGCCTGATCTTTTTCTTTTTTAGTTAATTTTTTTTTAAATTACAGTATGTGCATGTCCGTGTGTGGGTATGTACTCATAAATAGGAGTACAGGTCAGAAACAAAGACATCAGAGTTCCTGGTACTTGGAACAGACAGAACTCAGGTCAGCCACTGAGCCACATCTCCTGCTGTTTTCAGCTTCTATCTGGTTTTGTTATTCTTGCTAGGTGGAGTTCTTTGTTTGTTTGCAATAGGATGATGGAGGAGGGTCATCTGTCTATGTGTTACTTTCATTGGTTAATAAAGAAACTGCCTCTGCCTTTGATTGGACAGAAAATTTGATAGGTAGGCAGAGTAAACAGAACAGAATGCTGGGAGGAAGAAGGCAGTGAGGCAGTCGCCATGATTCTCCTCTCTGAGACAGACGCAGGTTAGGATCTTTCCTGGTAAGCCACCACCTTGTGGTGCTACACAGATTACTAAATATGGGTTAAAACAAGATGTGAGAATTAGCCAATAAGAGGCTGAAACTAATGGGCCAGGCAGTGTTTAAATGAATACAGTTTCCACGTAATTATTTCGGGGTAAGCTAGCCGGGATTGGGGCGGGAACACAGCCCACCGTTCCTTCTACAATAGGATGTGTCCCTTGGCTGACCTACTGCTCGCTATATACCCCAGGCTGGCCTTGAACTCATAGCTATCCTCCTGCCTTTGTAACAGGGCCCCAGATTTTAGCACAACTGAATCCATGATGGAATTATCACCTAGGCCATAAAACTCAGCACATAGGCAGCGCCACCTGACAAAATGGTTCTGGGAAAGTCTCTAATGAACTCACCTTGTTTTTTAGCTTCTGTAGTTCTATTTTCTGGCTAACTGTTCTTGTTAACTGAAGTATGTCAACCCAGAAGATTTTTTTTTTCTTTTGTACATACATGCTCACTCTGAGAAAGGCTCAGGGCTACATGGGGATCTCAAACACCCAGGGTAGTCACCAGCTAGTCAATAAAGACTTTCTATTGACTTAAACCCAGGTCTGAGCAATCTTCTCTGGTGGACACCCCGCACCACCTCAGCCTCTCACATGCGGAGATTACAGGCTGTGCCACCACACCCAGCCAGAGTTGCTATTTGAGAAGCTGCTAGCTGTTATAAAAATAAGTTCTAGAAATAAATAATGGTCATGTTTGTACACAAGGCGAATGTTGGTCATGCCCCAGAAAGGACACTTGAAGAGTCAGCATTATATATGTATATTTGTCACTATGAAGGGATATCAGGGCTAAAGAGATCAGAGGACCCGAGTTCAATTCCCATCACCCACATGATGGCTCACAAGCCCCTGTAACTCCTCTTCCAGCCTCCATGAGCACCAGGTACTCATGTGGTGTGGTGTACAGCCACACATGCAGACATGACACCATACATGTAGAATAAAATTTAAATTAAAAAATGAAAATACCAGTCGGGCGGTGGTGGCACACACCTTTAATCCCAGCACTTGGGAGGTAGAGGCAGGTGGATCTTTGTGAGTTCAAGACCAGCCTGGTTTACAAGAGCTAGTTCCAGGACAGGCTTCAAAGATACAGAGAAACCCTGTCTCAAAAAAACCAAAAAAAAAAAAAAAAAAAAGAAAATACCTTCCTATGTTTCCTTATACAGTGGAAAAAGCAGAAAACACTGCAGTAAACATCTGGAAAAATAAAGTCTAAAAACTAAAGCAGCTCCTTCCCTAATCCAAACTGTCTTCAGCCCACACAGCAGAGTGGGTCCTGTAAGGACCTGGTTTCCCTGTGACACTGGGCTTTTTGTTTGTTTGTTTTTCCAGTATTAGTCTCAAGCCTTGCAGATGCCAGGCCAGCCCTTAGCTACTAAGATGTACCTCCTTTTTTTTTTTTTTTTTTTTTTAAAGACAAGGTCACCCTTATGTAGCCCAGGATGGTCTCAAACACAGATCTTCTTGCCACTGCCTCCCGAGTAAGAGGATTACATGACATTATACAGGACAGCTATGGTTTGACAAGAAATGGGAAGAGAGTTTCTATGTGTCTTCTACAGAAGGCTTTAAGCAGTAGCTAGGTTCTGGAGCCAGCTTGAGTGCCCATGGCCTTGTTTGTAACATGGCTGCAGAGGGTCCGTGTACCTGGTTACTGATGTATCTTTAATGAATGGCCAAGGGGAGGGAAGAAAATGTGTTCCTGTCCACAGCCATACCACACTGAATGTCACTGACTCAGTGTGACCTCAGAAAGGGGGCAGCTTGGGTCTGGTTGGTACTTGGATAGGAGGAAACATGTTCCAGAGCCTTGAGGGAGGAACATGTGTTAGAGGCAACCGAGTGAATCCGACAGGCCTCTGTAGAGACACCGACGGGATTCATTGTTCCTTCCAGCTGAGCTGAGTTTCAAGCAGTCCCAAAGATCCATTTTGTCTCAAATAGTGACACTGCACTGTACTGTCTCTGCGGGGGCGGGAGCTACTGAAGGGTCAGCAGAGAAGGTACAGGAAAGGACAGGATGCAGAGTGGTGGGAGAGATGCAGGGGTGGGGTAGGCAGAGAAAGAGAGCGGGAAGGGGGAGAGGGGAGGAGAGGGAGATGGGAGAGAAAGTAGAGAGACAGAGGGAGAGGGGGAAAGAGAGGAGAGAGGGAAAGGAAAGGGCAAAGGGAAGGAAGAGGAGGGGAAGAAGGAGGGGGAAGAGATGAGAGAGAGAGAGGGAGGGAGGGAGGGAGAGAGGGAAACAGAGAGAGACACAGAGAGAAAAGGAAGTTGGCTGCCAGTCTGGATCCATGGAGTCAAAGGGAAACCGGATCCCCACACTGAACTTTGGAGTCTGGAGCTAGTCTGGGTGGGGCTGGTGGAGGCTGGATGAGAGGTGTCTAAGAACGACCAGCAAGAAAGAACTTGACCGGCCAGGAAGCCTTGTTCAGGGAGCCCTAGGGACTCAGTACATGGGACGCAGGTTGTTCTGTGACCCCCACCTTCCTTCCGGGGGCGGGGTGGGGCTGTGAGGAGAAGGCAAGAAGCTGCTTCCTGCATACTGGGCATGACAGGACAACCCTACTGGGGGCTCTTGTGAGTGGTGCAGTCAGGGTGTAAGATAAGCCCTCCAATCCTTCCCAAGCCATTTTAGTTAGAGTGGCCATGGCCAGCATAGCGGGCAGAGTGGCTGAGCCCGTCCAGCAGCGTGGTCAGTAATATGTTCAAGGTCAGCGGCAAGGCTACATCCTCACGACCTCATTTCCAATCGGGCAAAAGTTGGCTCATGTCACCCTGTGTGTCGTGTCCACAGACCCACGTTCTGGTTCCGTTCCTGTAGTACTCAAGGACCGTGAACGCATAGAGCCGGGAGCTGAGGACAGTTATTCCAGCCCTTATAGGTGGCCAGGTCCGATACCAGCCTCAGACTGTGTGCCTCAGGTCCCTCTCCTGCCTTTCCTCAGCTCTCTAAGGAGGCTGAGGTTCTCAGACTTCCTTGGGTCAACAGGAAGAGAAACTAGAGGGAAGGCAGGGGGTGAGGGTGAGGGAGCAGCAGGGTGCTTCTCCCAGCAGGGCAATGACCCAGGGGTGGCTCCCACTACGTCCCTCCCTCCCCTAGGTCCCAGGAGGCAGGCCTGCTTGTAGTTCTCGATTCAGCTCAGGAGACCCTGGTCATACAGACTGCAGGCAGGCAGGCAGGCAGGCTGGCTTCCTGTCTGAGCGCCTCTGATGTCCTTCAACCTTGCACTGAGCACGCTCTCTTCCTCCAGCTGAAACCACAGAGTGTTTCTGTGCTCCCGGGTGGCCCAGGTCCCCTGCTATGTGACCCATGATAAAGTGCTTCCCTTCCTGGCCTCTCTATTCATATATATCTATATCTCCCCTTCCCTTTTAGGACAGACTCACACAGAGCCGGCTCACCTTGAACTTGTAGCTGAGGATACCTTGAATTCGTGAATCACCTGCCTTTACTTCCCTAGTTCTGGGATTGCAGGCATTCATCGCTGCTATGCCTGATTTTATGGAGGATTGTGGGGTGCTGGAAGTTGAACCCAGTGGTCTATGTGTTCGAGGCAAGCACGCGACCGACTGTTCTTATCCCCAACCCGAGCGTTTGGTCGACCATACTGAGACTTGAAGGACTGTTCTTGCTCGCTTTGCTTTTTGGGTGTTTTGATTTTTTGTTTATTGGAGTAATCTCTTTTTAAGATATGTATTACTGTTGCCTAGGCTTGAATGCCATGGCTCAAGCAATCCTCCTGCCTCAACTTCTCATGTAGCATGGACTACAGGCAGCACCATTTTGTCTGTGCATTTAGACATGCATCTCCCATGGGCCTTTCAGTTCTAACAGACTGCACATTCTAAATCTGCTATTATGCTTGCTTCAACAGGCAACAAGCAGTCTTCACCTACACAGACTCTCTCTCCCACTCTCTCTCTCCCACTTTCCCACCCATTTATAAGAGTATCAAAGTACGTGGAGAAGTGATGGTGCACACCTTTAATCCCAGCACTCGGGAGGCAGAGACAAGTGGATTTCTGAATCGGAGGCCAGCCTGGTCTACAGAGTGAGTTCCAGAACAGCCAGGGCTACATAGAGGAACCCTGTCTCAAAAGACAAGACAAAGCAAAATGTACCAAGGTACGACATGGTGGCACATGCCTGTATTCCCAGCACTTCAGAGGATGAAACAGAAGAATTGAGGCTCAAGACCAATCGGGCGTTTCTGTGTATGCTTGGAATCCCAGTAGTCAGAAAGTTGAGGCAGGAGGATCATCATAAATTCAAGCCTGGTCTACACAGTGAGTTCAAGACCAGCCTTGACTGTTTAGAAATAACCAAAGCTGGGCACAGTGGTGCATGTCTTTAATCTCAGCACTTGGTGGGCAGAGACAGGTGGATCTCTGAGTTTAAGGCCAGCCTGGTCTATCTACAGAGGAAGTTCCAAGACAGCCAGGGCTACCCAGAGAAACCCTGTCTTGAAAAGACAACAAACAAACAAACAAACAAAAAGAGAGTGACTCAGAAAGACTCTTGAGGTCCTGAGTCCAATTCCCAGCAATGACATGGTGGCTCACAATTATCTATAATGAGATCGGATGGCGTATCATATTATGTACCCATAATAAATAAAGTCTTAAGAAAGACGACACTTGAAGTTGACCTCTGGCCCCCTGATCACAGGCACACAGATGCACACTCACCTACATGAACACACATGTGTACACACACATACAAGGACAACCTACAAGACACAGGCTGCTAAAATCCTCTCCCCAAACAACTTCGTTGGCCAAAATGTGGGCTATTAAGAGAGAACGGTGTTGTTGTGTTGCTGATGTTCAGTACTAGCCCGATGAGACATCTAGGGCTGCATCGTGGTGGGTTACCCCTGCCACATGAACGCCCTGACCCCTGAAGAGCTGCAACAGGGAAGCATACAGCCTTAGAGGGTGTGGGCTGGAGATTGTTAACCATGACTTTAGTTGTCCTATGGAAAGGAGTGGTGATTGGCTGGGCCATTGTCTTCTATTTCATAGACTTTGGACCGTATCTGAACTTTATTGATCTGTTTACAAAGCTCCATGGGTTAGTTTCCACACCAAAGAAAACTTTCCTCAGTTAGGCCTCTAAATCCAGAGTGGCCCAACTGGGAAATGAGCCGGGGATGCGGCTCAGCGGTAGAGCGCTGCTCTCGCAGAGGTCCTAAACTTGAATTCTAGCACCCATTTTGGGCAGCTCACAACCACCTGTAATTCTAGCTCCAAGTGATCTAATGCCCTGTTCTGGCCTCCACGGGCACCCAAATACATGTGGCAGACACAAAGTCAAAGACACATACATACAAATGAAAACAAATTGGAAACATACAGAGTTCAACTACTATATGTTGAATATGTTGCTAAGAGGACCTAAACAAACCAAGGGACATCCCATGTTCATGGATTTGGAGACTTAACACCATGGAGATACGTTGTTCAGACTAGCCTTAGATTTGTGCTCCTTGGGTCTCAGTCGCCTATGTTGTGGAATTATAAGTGACTGCACCTCCTGGATCTTTTTTTAAATTTATTTATTTATCTATTTATTTATTATGTATACAATATTCTTTCTGTGTGTATGTCTGCAGGCCAGAAGAGGGTACCAGACCCCATTACAGGTGGTTGTGTGCCACCATGTGGTTGCTGGGAATTGAACTCAGGACCTTTGGAAGAGCAGCCAATGCTCTTAACCTCTGAGCCATCTCTCCAACCCGCCCCCCTCCTGGATCTTTTTTCTTTCTTCCTGAGACAGAATCATCTCACATTGTACGGCCAGACTGTCCTGCCACACACTATGTAGCTCGGGCTATCCTCAGACCTGCACCAAGCCTCCTGTTTCACTCTCCTGAGTACCGGGATTACAGGTGTGAGCTCCCGCACCCAGCTAAAGAGCCTAAATTATTTTGGAAGGGCAAAGAGGGTTCATCAATTATTTCAAGATCTAGCATCGGCTATATTAATCCTAACCATGTGGACACACGGTTCACAGATGCACACAAATGTGCATAAACAATAAAAAGAACCTGCTCTGCATGTAGAGCCCGTGTGCCGAGCTGACATAGACACCATCAGATTCCATGCTTGGCTCTAAAGGACAGTTATGTGTCATAGAAAGAACCCTCAGTCACCTAGGTGAAGGAACGGGACATTTCTCCACAAGATCTTTGCAGCTTCCTGTGACGCTAGAATTGTTCCAAAGTAAACGTCTAAGAGCTGCCGACACCGGCTCCTCTCCTCCCTTGGACTCTTCTGCTCGCTGCTGTCGTCTGGGGAACGCTTTCTGGGATCACTTGCCGGGTCCTTGTGGACTGATTCATCTCCTTGAGCCTAGCGCCTTGCTTTTCTGAGACTTCTAGTTTATTTACCGTTATTGCATGTGTATGTTGTGTGTGAGGACATATGTATGTGGGTGTCAGAGGGCAACTTTCAGCAGTCTGTTCTCTCCTGTGGGATCCTAGGCTTGAACTCAGGTCATCAAACTTGGGCAGCAGGTGCTGAGTCATCTTGCTGGCCACTCTTTTTTTTTTTTTTTTCCTTGAGACATGGTCTTGCATATTCAGTCCTGGTCTGGAACTTAGTAGTAGGTCAGGCTGGCCTCAAACTTGGGTTGATTTTGCCTTGAACATGCTGGGATTGCAGGTGTGTACCACCATGCCTGGCCAGTCCTGCTCTTGAAGATTTGAGGGAGGGTCATGACTAATAGTTAATCTAGGGCTACCGATGTGACCTGTGAAGATCTCCAAAACACTGAGAAATGTAGTTCCCTAATCAATAATGGATGTCAGGAACTGGGGAGCCAATCCCACACTCCTGTGTGGTGGCGGTGCTGCATACCTGTTATCCTAGCAACTTAGAAGGCTGAGGCAGGAGGATTGTGAGTTTGAAGTAATTCTGGTCTATGTAATGGAGACCCCATCTCAGTCAGTCAGTCTATCAATCAGCTGATCCTTGTGGTTAAGGTCTGTAATCCCAAATACTCAGGAGGCTAAGGCAGGAGGTTCATGGGTTCAAAGTCAGTTTGAGGTAGAGTAAGTTCAAGGCCAGTTTGATTAGCTTAATAAGACCCTGTCTCAAAACAGAAATGTTTCCTATGCTCCTGTAAACAACCCATCACTCATTTCTTTTATGTAATGCCAATTAAACTCATTGGTACCCACATACACACAGAGGATCGCTAGTTGGAAATCAGTGGGATGGAGACAGGGAGGGAAATGGGGTGAGTATGATCAAATACATTATATACATGTCTGAAAACATAGGCATCCCATTGACATGTATAACTCACATATGCCAACACTGAAATGCTTTTTTAAAAGAGACTTTGCAGAGACTCCAATTTTAATAAAAAATTCACATTTTCAGACACACACCTGCCCCTCAAATAAAGTAAAGAGAAGTCTGAAAATGTATAACTAGGTGAAAAAACACTTGCCTAGCATATGCGTGGCCCTGTGTTCAATCTGTAGTACCACCATAAAAGAAAGAAATAATATTGTGCCAGGCAGTGGTGGGGCAAACCCTTAATTCCAACACTTGGGAGGCAGAGGCTGATGGATTTGAATTTGAGGCCAGCCTGGCCTACAGAGTGAGTTCCAGGACAGCCAAGGCTACAGAGAAAAACCCTGTCTCAAAAACAAACAAACAAACAAACACCCACAAGCAAACCAGTAAGCAAGCAAATAACCAATATTGTATAGGGGTAAAGCTGAAGAATGTATACCTATGGACTATATTTAGACTCTGTTTCTCATGGCCAAAACCCTTAAGAATGGTTTGCCTGCCCTGGGAGATATTCTGCTTTCCTTAAGGCAGTTTGGGGTGTGGGAGGATGGAGGGCCAGTTCCTCTGGTCTTGCTGAGGAAAGATCGAGTCCTGGCATTGGTAAAGTGGTCTGCTGCCTGGGGGAGGAGGGGGACAGAGGCTGAGCCTCCACAAGGCTGGGAAAACCGACCGACCCTCAGGGCCACTCACCGCATGCATGCTTCCTTCGTGATCTTCTACTGAAATCCCTAACTTTGCATTTTTCCAAGAGGACCCCTTGCAGGTGCCCCAGTCCCCAGCAACAGCTCTGACACCTGTTTTGAGGCTAGTCCTTGTTTTTCTGGGTTTCCCCAAGGGGAGACATCTGCACGGAGAAGGGAAGATGGGTGCACTTGCCTTGAGCTTTTCCCCGGCGTCTTCCAAGTGGGCTATGTTGTCAGCGTGTTGCCGCTTCTTGGTCGCCAAACACTCTAAACACTCCTGGAAGAGTTTCTGCGATGGGGGTCAGGGGAAAGAGGGAAGGTGTCACTTTCAAGCCTTCGTCCTTGCTCTCCCCCTTACGGGTTTTCCTTAATCACATTTTCTTTATCTACAGGGTGGGAGCAGGGCACACTGGGGCCATAGTGTACATGGGGAGGTCAGGGGACAGTCTGCAGGGTCCCCTCTCTCTTTCCACCTCGTGGGTCTCAGGGCTTGAACCCAGGTCGTCAGGCTTGGCAGCAGATATCTTTGCCTGCTGAGACATCTCACTGGCCCATCCCTGAATTCCTTTTCAGCAGAGGTACCCGAGGCTCTGAGAGTGAGTAGCTTGCCCAAAGTTCATGTGGCTAGGTGGGTGGTGAGCAGATTCTGGCCCTCTGAGCCTCCAGCCTGGATGTCTGTCTCCTACCTTCCATGTGTCTGCTTTTAGAACTTACTATTCTACTAAATGCCTGCTTTGGGTCTTCTTCCTTCGATGACGGCCCTTCTCCATCTTAGTCTTCCTTTGTAAAGCTGGTCTTTCATTTGACACCTGGGTCTACCTTATAGGAGCAGGGGTGGGAGTCTGGATCAACCAGGATTATTAGGGCATGCCAATTTCCAGAGGAGAGCTGGAAGCCCGAGGAAGCGGGCAGGAGTGTGGGCTCTAGAGGAAGACTAAAGCTAGGTCGTGGCCCTGCCTCTGCAGCCGTGCGCCCCCCACCCATTTCCTTCTCTGCAAACAAGGTCGCCGTGGAAACTGAGTGAGATTCAGTTTGCCTGGCCAACAACACATGCTCAGTATGGGTTGTTTTGCCACCTTAACACCCAACAAGCTTTAGTGGCTGTGGTGAATGGCTTTACTGGACGAGGGAACTGGGGGCAGAGAAGGGGGGTCAACCTTGGTCTTAGCTTCTCCATGCGCCTCTCCTGTGACACCTCAGCCATCTACTGCCCAAGGAGGCCCAAGAATATCCCAGCCTTCCGACTTGAACCCTCCACTTCCAACCACAGGAATCTGTCTTGGGACCTCACAAAACTTTCAATAACCTTCAAGGCCATGCCCAGTGGCGCTTCCCTGCCTTGACTTCCTGCCTCAAGTTCCATCTTTTTTTTTCTGGCCCTCACTGACCACCACCTTGGGCTCCCTACTATGGTATTTACCACATGGCATTGTTACCGTTTTCCCCCTGACAAGCCAGGCAATGCATTCAGGTAAGAGGAGGATGTGACCTATGACCCGGCTCACTGAACAGGCGGTTGACGATTGAATGGCTCTGTAAGCTATAAACACGTAGAGCGAGGGTGTATGTGGATGCACTGATGAGAGGAACCCCGAGACAGACAAAGGAGGGAGACACTTGGGCCACATCTCTGGAAAATAGCCTTGGATGTCCAAGTAGCAGCATCTGAGGATCACTATTAGTCATTCACAGGTACCAAAAGGAAGGTTCTGGAAGCGGGGGCATTTCTTATGAACCCAGGACTCCACGAGCCAGCCTGTGCTCCCATTGGCCTGATTTCAGATTATACTTGTTACAGGTGGTGAAGTCAAGTAAGGGCAGAAATAATAAAATCAGCTTTGTGAAGACAGAAGGTTCGGCCTAGCCAGCCTTCCGGTTCTGAAATGCCAGGCATGCCTGGTGGGGTCCAGCTCAGTGGTTTCTGCAGAGAAGACTGTGATAGGCTAGAGGGGAGCAGTGGTGTGTTTGCATAGGGGGAGGAGCCGGATTCAAGGCAGGAAGATGGCCTTATTGAGTTTGCAAAGCAATACAGGCCTTCAGGCCCCAGTTGAGAAAGGCCTATTATGAACTCCAGTGTCCAGTTTCTAGGCTTCATGATGCGCAATCGTGGAGTTTTCTTTTTCTACACCCACAGCTCCAATACGGTCTTTTGACATAGCCTCGCTTTGTAGTACTGGTTGGCCTTAAATTCTAGTCTCCCTGCCTCAAACTCCCTGATGCCCTACAAGCGTTAGGCGAGAGTCCCAGAACCCTTGGTTGTGTTCACTAAACCTCAGGTTTTCTTTAAGCCTGTGGCAGCGTTGGTGAGCTGCCCTAGCAGAAGCGGTAAAGGACATCTGAGGATCAGCCTGAGCCTCCCAGTACCCTCAACAAGTCTTCTGATACTTCACTGTTGGCTTGGTCTTCCTTTGCCATGCGGTTCTGCTTCCAAACCTTAAGTCTACCACCTAGGGGACCTCAGTTTCCAAGTCCTAACGTGATGTGGGAGTGAGACCTGCCTGGCCTGGCGCTCCGTCGTCCGTTATTTCTGTTCTTACTCCTATGTTCAGTCTCCACCCGCCCAGATCTGCGTGAATGTCCCACACCCAACGTCTCCCCACCTGCACGCTCGCAGCCTCCTCCTGGGCCAGGCCCACCGGGTGGCCGCGGTGGGCACCCAGCACCGGGCACAGCGCGCACACGCAACGGCTGCAGCGGCGACAGAAGAGCTCAGCCGGGCGTTCGCTGTGCTCAGGGCAGCGCCAGCGGCAAGCCCCGTTGGCCTGGACGGGCTCCGGCATGCAGGCTGTCTCACTCGCCATTCGCTGTGGCAACCCCTGTCCACTCCCGCAGTGTAGCCGGTGGGGTGGCTGCGAGAATCGAAACCTTGCTCGGGGCGGGGCTGGCGACCCAACTCCCAGTGGCGGGTTGGGGCGAAGGGGGCGGGGGACGGTGATGAGCCTTGGTCCCGCCTAGTGCTGGATCCACAGCACAGCACAGCACCTTTTCACTCTTCCGCCCTGTGTGGGAGGAGGCTGCCACAGACAGGGAACGCTGGGGCTTGCTTGAATGGATTAACTGGCAGGTGGGCTTCCCACTTGGTTACGCTGGTCTTGGGGGTTTCGACAAACTTCCGGAGTGGCCTGGTAGGTGTGGCCTGCCAGGAGGGGCCCGCGTTTCCCACACTCCCACTTGTCCCTTTTCCTGCAGTGCTTCTTCCCTGGGGTCAGCCTTGGGAGTTTGGAACAGATTTCCAGGCAACCGCAATCAGCCCCAGGCTAAAACTCTGAAGACTCTGGGATCCCTCCTCCCCTGGTGGGTGGTGGCCCACCCTTTGTTTCCAGCCTGGGGAATTGGAGTATAGCTGCTATGCACGGCCACCCATCCACGTGCGGTTTTGGTTTAGCTCCTCCTTCAGGAAACCTCAATTTTTCAGATCAGCTCACTATGCCTCATTCCGTTCCCTGCGTTCTCTTAACCACGACTGAAAACACTATCAGAACCTTACTTGCCAGTTTGTCAGCAGGGGTATCTGTTGCTAAATTGGTACTTGTAGAACGAAACAAAAGAAAATCTCCATGCATTACAATATCGAGCTTGGTGTTTTATTATTATTTTGGTTGAGGCAGGGACTCACACTCTGTCCAGGCTGGACTGAAATTCAATCCTTCTGCCTCCGCCTTCCAAACGCTGGGATTACAGGGGGGGCAATTATCACCCAGTGTTGATTGTTAGATTCTTCCATTGCACAATTTCTGCATCGATTTTTTACTTTTATTTCTTTAAATTTTTTTTTTTTTTTTTTACAAAGGTACAAGGAATTTAAGAAACATTAAAACAACCATTCAAACGGCTTCAGGCATGGTTTCACATGACAAGCATAGCTCCTTTCTCACTTCCTGTTTCCCTCTAGGGCAGACCCTCAAGTTTTGTTCTAGGAAACAGAAATATTCTAGAGCTAAGGTGGGTACCAGCCAACGGCTCATCTCCAAGCGCTCTCCTCATCCACACCACACAAAGTTCCTGAGTCAACAGAAAGGGAGCTCCCAAGGCGTGAGACAGGGAGGTGAGGGCTGCTTTCCCACTGATGGGCACTGCCTTTGTGGGCACTGTTGCTCCATCAACTCAAGAACACAAAAAACATAATCTTAAAAAAAAGATGACTTTAAAAAAATATCTGATAAAAATTACCTATCCCTCTTCCCTTGCTATGAAATAATTTAAATAATTTATTCTAGGTGTAAAAAAAAAAACAACAAATAAATTTGTTCATAGCCACCTGTGACCTGTTCTTGAACGTGAGGTCTGAGTCTGGGTCCCTTACAGTGGGGTGAGCTTCTCTTGGGGTGGGGGGAATGGCGTAGTACAGAGACACCAGGATGGAGAGCTCTGGAGACCCCACCCTCAGCCACACACAGGAGGAGGCAGTGGCTTTGGACCGGTGTCTTCACTCTGAGGTTGTCCTGCCTTCTGAACATGGGGGATGGGAGCTTGACAAACTAGTCACAAATGAAAGGACAGAGTCCTGATCCAGGAGCTCCAGTTCCTATCAAATGCCTGGGACTTAGCCTTTTTCTCGGGAGCACAAATATGGCAAGCATAGCTGGCTCGTCGTTGTCATCGTTGTTGGGGATAGAGTCCTAGTCTAGTGATTGATGGATGGAGAATAAACCAAGAAACACAGATTGTGAGGGGCAAGGCATCATGGGAGGGAGTCTTGGGATTGTCCTACTTTGATTGCCAGCTCAGGTGCAGGAGACCCGCCCAAAGCCTCTCGGTCCCCACACTTCCCACTGAGGAGTCAGCTGCAGTGGGGGTGGGTCTGGTCATCACCATGTCCATCTAGAGGGATGCTAATCGATATCATGGTCAAAGTCTGTTAGTCTGCGGGGCTCCTGCAATTCCCACTTGTGTGACCCTGTGTGATGGGGAAACACTGGCTGCCTGTCCAGAGGGGAGAGGGTGTCTGGTAAGCTTTGGGAGTAGCTTTGTCTCAGATTCCTCTCAGGCAACAGCTGGGCTGCTGTACTGATCACCAGGAGAGAAAGAGCCTCAGAATAGGGCCCAGGACACACAAGGCAGGGGCCCAGGCTTGCAGACCAGATGCTATCTGGTCCCACTCTCTCACCTGGCACAAGTCAACCAGAGCCCTTCCTGGTGGGTGGCCACAGGGCTTGGCCACTTCCAGTGCTGCCCTCCCTCCACATCCCCAACCTCGCAGAGGCCTTTTGATAACCTGGGTGGAAGCCTGCGTCTGCCCTCCTGGAGGCTGCAGGCTCTGGAGTCAACAGACATGGTTGGTGTCCCCAGCTATCTACTCTCATCTGACTGGTTCCGGTTGGAAGGATGGGTTTGGCTACCTGTCTGTAGTTTAGAATTGGGCCAAATCTTCACTCTTCCTTTCAGACTGAGTCCCCGCACCAGCGTGAGCTTCTTCATTAAGCACAGGTCATCAGCCCACAGGCATGATCAAAATCAAGTATTTGGTGGCAAGTCACAGACGGGGTGATAGCTCACTGGAACTTTCCCCTTGCTCAGATGAACAGATGGAGAAACTGAGACCAGAGAGAGCAGTACTTGGTGAAAGGTCACCAGGGAAGTCTGGACATAGCTGAGGTCAGAAACCAATGGATCCGACTATGGGGACTGAGAACAACGCTGTCAGACAGACCCAGGACAGAACCTCAGTCCAGCCCTGCCAGGAAACAGATCTTACGTGTCTCTCTCTGGGGCCTCAGTTAAGTAAGCCAGATCAGTGGTTTTCAAGCTTCTAAGAGATAATTTAGCAGTCAAAGCACATATTCCAAAGTGGGCTGATGAAGATGGAGGCTATCTGTTAGAATGAGTTCACCGACCAAAACCGCTCCCTATTCTATGACCACAGGCAGGTTGACCTACCTAGTCCTTCCAGATCTTTCTACCTCTGGGAGGTCATAGCTCCTCCCTGACCTTTAAAACCATAATTCAGCAGAAGGCAGGGTGCAATCGAAACCAGCCGGGGCAGAAACCCCCAGCGGTGAGAAGGCAACAGGAAAGCGGCACCATGATCCACTGGGATCTCTTTCAGCGACCGAGAGTTTTGTTTTCTGGTATAAAATATAGAAATAGTGGTTGTTCTCGGGGACCTATGGTTCGGTTCTGGACCTCCCCACAGAGCCTCTTGGTGTCCCTGAGGGCAAGGATGGCGGGGACCTCTGCTCAGAACTGTCCTAAACCCATCCGCAGGTTCTTGATCTCCAGTTCCAGCTGCTTGGTCTGGACCTCCCTTTGCATCAACAGCTCCCGGAGCCTCCGGATCTCCTCCTGTTGCCGGTAGAACATGTGCAGCAGCTGGGGAAGCAGAGGGGCAAGGTCATCTGGGTGGCCAGGATGGGCAACAACACAAAAGCTAAGCCACAACTGACTTTCGACTTGAGAGTGGTTAAACTATCAAGGGACAGTCATTGCTTGGCTCAGTCACCAAAGCCTTGCTCACTTCACCCAATAAATGAAGTCCGAACAGATTTTGTGTGTGTGTGAAGTGTCCCATTTCTCCTTTCAGGGTCCCTCAGGGGTAGAGCAAAGGGTATTTGGGCCTGAATATGAAAACTTGGGTTTTCACCACCATCGGGCTGTGTAGTTAATACCAACAACTTGGCAGGATCTAGAATGACCTATGGAGTTTGCAGATTGGGCTAAATGAGAGAAGTCACACCCTAACTGTGGGTGACATTATCCCATGGGCTGGGGTCCCAAACTGAATAGGAATGAGGAAGTGAGCGTTCATCTCTCCCTGCTTCTGACTGTGGATGCCATGTGATCAGCTTCCCTGAGCTCCTGCCTTCCTCACCATGATAAACTAACCCCTTACCGTAATTGCTATCCCTGCACCAAACAGCCATTAGATGCGGGGCACCTCCCGAGGGACTCTGTTGTTCCCCCAAAATGTCTGTGACATCTCTTAGGGTGGCAGTGTTAGTGCCTCCTCTCGGTGTGGAAACCGAGGCTGAAGCCGTTTCCATTGGCATTTTGTCCACAGCAGTATGGGAGTAACGAGTACACCAGCCTGGCTTACAGCAGGTGCTTACCATGTACTGGCTCTTAACATCGGGCCTCAAAATTCCACAGTGCTGGTGCCAGGGCCGTAAAGGCACCAAGTCCTATCTCCTGCATTTCACAGACTGTCCCCACCACTGTGTGCACATCTGTCATCTTGCTATATGGCTGCTAATCAGAGGCAATGAGGTGACTAAATTTTGCCAAGAGAATTAATTAAGGTGTAGGCCAGGCAGTGAGGTCCAGCAGGCTGCCCTTCTGCCCTCACTTCCCTCCCAGCCCACCACGCTCCCCCATCCTGCGGGCCTCTCTCCCCTCCCACCTCATTTTCTGTCTTTGGTGGGGGGCATTCAAAAATGTCAGTGCCGTTGGTGAGCCGCGACTTCTCCTCCAGCCGCTGCTCTCTGGCCCACTTTGGTGTCTTCTCGTCCAGCAGAGAGCGGGGTGTCCGGTCATCATTGGTGGCCAGCTGTGCCATGGGTTCCAGGAGCCCAGGTGAAACTTGGACCATAGAATTGGAGAAAGGTTTCTTCTCTGGAGGCAGTGGCTGGGACTCCAGCAGCTCCGAGCCGGGTCGAAGGGACATCATGATGGGCTCTGGAAGGGATGTAGACGGCTGTGAAGAGGGCTGAGTGACCACGAGTAGATGGGCATGGGAGGGGCATGGACACGGCTGGCCTGTACTGTAGACAGGCATGTACCCATGCCAGGCAATCAGGTAGCAACATGTGTGGAGCCCATGTGTGGGGGAAGGGAAGCCAGCACATGGGCACAGCATAGACAGACACTGGAGTGGCCTCCGGGTCCCTGAGCCCCTCAAATGAAGCTTGTCCTTGCCTTCTCCCTGCGCCCCTTAGCCA